AAAAAAAGAGAGAAAAAAAAAAAAAAGAAAAGAAAGAAGACGAGCGGGGGGGGGGGGGGGGAGGAGGGGGGGGGGGGGTTGGGGATGGCCCAGGATCGACACAGCAAAAGATCGAATTTTTCTAGTAGAAAATGCGTAAAACTGAGCTAAAACTACCTCAATAGAGCTCCAAAAGACGTTTCATGAGCATAATTGCCCCTATTTCAGAGAATCACCCCATATTGAAAATTTCTTAGATCCGCCGCTGTAACTGCACAACACTTATATTATGAGTAACTTACTTTTAGTAATTCTGAATTAACTATAAAACAATATATGAATCCGAAATCAAAACATCACTTGATTATTTTCAATGATAATGCCGAAATATCACACTATCCATTATATGAGATAAATATTTATCTTGTATGTGTTTTTGTGCTATTATTATTGTAATTATCATTATCTTCTATATTGCCTCATCATCCTGAAGAGTCATTATGGTAAACGAAGTCTCGTATTTTTTTAGAAACACGTTAAGTATGAAGAAAATATGTAAGTGAAATGTTGGTACATATTTTATGTTTCTTTGTCAGTCATTTTCTTCAATTTATCGTCGTGATACTGCTTCATATTGCATTATATAAATCTGTGATAAGAAAAAAAGATATTAAAATGACATTTTCTAGGTAAGATAAATACGGGGCTGCCCCGAGTTAACCAACATTGGGGGGGTGTAGTGAATTTGCGGGGGGGGGGGGGGGGGGGGTATAACAATAGTTTTGCTGACAGAACACAAGAAAATGTTTGAATTTTGCTTGGAAAAAACAAAAATTGTTAACGATTGGGGTGTGTGTTACACCTCCGACACCTCCCCCCCTCCCAACCAAGTCAGGTCAGCCTGGCTAAATGATAGACTTTGGACTTTTGTAATATTATTCAATTAGTCATGTGCTTAAACTTTCTTTATTTTTAAAATGTTTTGCTTGCAATCGTTGAGCTGTTGTTTGTCTTTCGAACTTCATAGAATCTACTTGAATGTCAAAAAAATTCTACAAAATCGAACATGTCTAAATAAAAATTATGTTTTTTTGTTGTTAATTACTATTGATGTAAACAATTACGATGATTAAAATCAAACTAATATAAAGATACATTGCATCAATTTTTGAATGATCATTTATATTTTCATTAGAGTAAATTGGATTTGAATTGCAATGGTCTCCAAATAAATGTTCGATATCTTCTACGAAATATTTTTTTTTTGTTGATTTCTTAATCAATTATCTTTATTAATGGATTTATAATTTTATTTTTCGGTAGATGGATCATAAGTTATTTAAACCGTAAATGAAATTGATGAAACATGATCAAAATTTGACATTTATTCTTGATTAACAACAACATTAGATATGTATATATAACGAGTCAACATTTACCAATTACTATTTGTTGATTAACTTTCATTTAAAAATCCAATATAATTCAAATTTATTTCGTGTTTTCTTTATCTTCCAAATATAATTTGAATGCCATTTTTGAAGTTCAACAATCAGATTGGTTAGAAGAAATCTAAATAGGAAATCTTCTCTTGAATAATACTCATTCACAAATATTTAAACTATGGCAACTTGAAAAACACTACTAAAGTATTGTTATCTAAAATTTTAATAATCGAAATTATTAATTGAAAAAAAATGTTTTTTTATGCGTTAAATGAATTGATTGTGTCTCATTCATGAGACATTCTTAACTTTGGTCTTGTTTCTTTTATAAACAATTCATTCTTATAGAGAATAAAAAATAAGAAACGAACGATTACGAAATTATTATCTTTAATATAATATATGATTTTCGCGGAAAAATGGTTTATCAGTATTGAAATAAACATACTTCATATATCTTATATTATATAGCAATATTTTACTTATGAATCATTACAAAACAAAAAGATAAGAATATCTTCAAAATGACAACAACAGAATAAATCAAAGAAAAAAAAGACTTTGTTTAAAGATAGTTCTTTTGACTCATGTATTATATGCTAAACAAATGAAAAAATTCGAATATATTTTGAATATTTGTCGAAAAAGAATTTTTATTTACAGAGTTTTTCGATGAAAAAAAGTTCGTGAAAAAATGTGCAATACAAACATCGTTGTTCTATTTCCAACAATGATTTCAAATATCATATATCATATTAGACTTGACTCAATTCATAGAATCAAAGCGTCATTGTCTTCGAGAGTAATCAGGAAAATAACGTGTGATTTCGGCAATTATATCGATAATGAGGAACTAAGACTAAGATTATCTTTTTAGAATTTTTATTACTTTAGACATTATGAGATCGAGCATAGGCGGTGAAGCCATTAGGCTTGAGCCTAACCTAGGTGGCTGAAGGATAGACTCAAAATAAGATAGATTAAAGCTTAGGTAGGCTCGAACAAGTACAGATGAAGGCTTGGGTAGGCTCGACTCAATGTAAAAATTTTTTATTATTGTATAGTTTTCATGTTCTTCTGGCTGATGACGCATTCTTACAAGATCATTCCATATTTTTTCTATTACCAACTGTTTTCAATGAGGTAGAGATTGGATTTCATTGGCATCTGTATCGATGTCGAACTCTTCGTTCTTAAGAAGTTCACTCTTACACCACATTTTCCACTTAGAGGAGTTCTCTTGGGCTGAAGTTGTCAGAAATGAGTGACTCTAAGGAGAAACGCCTTTGGTAAAAGTTTAGGTCCGATATGTCGAACCAGAGTGAACTTCTGAATTATTTATAGCCTTCTGCAGAATCGTTATAGCTTCACCATTGCAAGAGGTACAGAGCGCTCGAGGTAATTTCAAATTGAAGTCAACATATGTGCTGACCTTTTCATCGGACGGACTTTTGAAATTCACTTCTGCTCACTTTTTATGATCGTTTTAGTACATACAGTGCTAAAATAAACAAAAAAAAAGTCACTTCACAGCACTAAACCTATCTTTTCTTGACACAGAAATTAACCATGAAAAATCTGGTCGGACAAAAGTTTACTCTTATTTAAAGCTTTAAAACAAAAAATTGTAGTTTATAGCTTGAACCTGGTAGAAGTTATTTTCATTTTTCTGATTGAAAACTATGTCCTGAGAAAAAAGTAAAGTAAACTTAGACCGAAATTTTTTCATTCAAATTCAGAAAAAAATGCATACTCATAATTTATTTAAGTGAGATTTTTAAAAACACGCAAAACATGACGTAAGCTAGCACCATGAGTGGTGCTTAAGTTATATACAAATGTTTTTTCAATGCTGATGCAAGCAAAAAAGGCACGAAAATCTCTCGAAAAATAGGGTAGTAGGATGAAAATCTCCTCCAAAAATCTGTTAAAATTTGGCTTCCTTTTAAAAGTAATATACATTCCGCGAGAGAAAACTTCACTGCATCTTCCTATCATAAAAACTTAACTTCGATTATTTTTTTGAAAAAATAGATCTTCTAAGGGTGGAATGCTTGATATGAGACAGTTTAATTTTCGTTTTAAACTTCTGCTTAGAGTAAATTTTGTATTTTCGATGCTTGAATAACATTAATCTTTGCGTACACAAATGTTGACCAAACAAAGCAAAAGATTGACAATAATTTTGAGCAAAGTTCATCTGCTGTTCAGAGTAATGAATCGAATAAAAACATATTTATGCTGTGCAATGACTCAAGAACATTTAAATCATGTTATTATTCCATATATTTATAAAGAAAAACTAGATTTACTTGCTTTGAACAGCATCTGTTCTGATTTTATTTTCAAGAATCAAAATAGAAATAAATAATTTGGTGCTCAATAGTTTTACTTCTTAGACTGCTTCTTATTGTTTTTTTTAAGCACCATTTCTCTTTTACTTTGTTAGTGCCTGTTTTGTTTTGAAACAATAAAACATCAGAATTATCACACTTATACAGAATTAAAGTCTAGCAAGAAAACTTAGAGGGCTTACCATTATAAAAAATAATAATTAACACCACTATTCAACCTACTTTCCAATCTGGTTTGGCGGGAAAGTTGAGCCTACCCTAGATTGAAATCGTTCCGCCGCCTATGTGATCAATCGATCATGTAGAAAAACATTTAATAGATTTTATGTTTGATTAATTATCAAATAAAAAAATATTCATTAACGAGATCTGATGTGTTTTATCAAAAATTGACCATTGTTCATTTCTCTTTTTACATTTTTGATGATCATTTACAATATTTCAGAAGAATTTTTTGTTTTTCTATGAAAAGCAAACAAACTCATGGTTTTATAATAAGTTTAACGATGAAGAAATTTACGATCTTACGAACAAATCAGTTGTTATTTTAATAAAAACTTCAACTTATTGTTTTAATTCGTTCATGTTCAACTGCTTTGTTATCGACTGTCATAATTAAATATATATCGTTCAATAAAGAACACATTTAAGCAATGAAAATACTAAATAAAAAGTCTCATATTTTAAGCAATACTCTCATTGAATAAATATTTTTAATTTTAAACGTCTACATCGATTTTCATCTATTAATTCTATTTGCCCTATAAATTTTACGATGTTTACCTCAGTATCATTTGTCATATTACTTTGTACAAAGAAAATAAATGACAGATGTATGACTTCGGAAATTCTATATATAATAATACATTTGGATATTGCAAAAGCGGCCAAAACAAAGCGGTTCAAATAAAGTACATAGTGTTTGAAATGCTGTTAAAATAAAACTCATAGTTGATTTATTATCATTGATTCATACATAACAAGATTTTAAATGGCTTCGATAGTGTGGATACAAAGAAAACATGAAAAAAAAACTTGCACTTAGTTATTAATATGAAAAATGATAATGAACTAATTACATTGTTTGTAAATGTTGAATAAATGATCAGTTATTATCGTTTGGTTTTGTAAGATCTTACAACTTCGTTAGGCATTGATATAGGTCGAATGAATGGTTGTGGAGGAACTTGTTCATTTGCAATAGATTCTTTTTGTTTTTGTTGATATTTCTTATTTCGTCTATGATCTTTAGGTTTCCAACGACTATCTCGATAAATATTTGTTTTCGATAGTATTCTTGTTTGAGAGGATGAATTCATTACTGTTACTTTCTTTTTAGTAATAATAACATTGATTTTTTTCCATTCATCTTGTAATGATTGTTTGACATTATCGAGAGTATTTTCATCATTATTATTATTTTTCATTTCAATTAATATCCAAAGACCATCTTTATAACATTCTTTATTCTTTGTTTTAATTTCATCGATTATTCGACGAAACGTTTTGCTGGACTTGTTATTGATAATATTAATACAAACATTTAATGTACGTTCAAGAAGTCGAAGATGCGAACCACCTCGTCCAACAAAGCGACCAGTTTGGTAGATACGTTGAATTGGACTTAGCATCGAAGAAAACTCAAGTATGACATAATTGACACATTTAGGACAATCAGATGTCAACGATAATTCTTCTTCTTTTGATTTAATATCTTGGCAAAGTTTACGTAAATCCTCGAAAGTCAATAAATATTCTCCTAAACAAAACAAAATATATGAATATCTTATTTTCTCTAGGCTATTTTCAAAATTTGCCATTATTCGAAAATATTTATTGTTGTTTATCTAATCAAAATAAAAATAATCGAATTTATTCTACTAACCTGTTTGGTTGTGACATGTACAACATCGCTTTGGTAATCGTTGTAGAACGGAAGAACTAAATTCATTTGTTCGACGAATTTGATTAATGATTCCATGAAATTTCGATAGATATTTTCGATCATGTACAATACAACCTGTACTTGATGTTGTCATATTATTTGGTTATACTATATCTTATACTTTTGTAGAAATTATCTTCAAAATACCAACATAGAAAGTAACAAGCTGAAAGACATGGCGGAAGATATTTATTTAGTAATACAATTGCATCACTGACATGCAAGACACGTGTTGAGAATGAAGAATGGAGAAAAGCCATTTTAAAAAGAAAAGAAAAGTACTTACGTCATGCACTGTAAAACACGTTTTCTTGCATAACGAAGATCAATATGAATTTCAGAATTTTATGAGAACAAGTTACTGATAAGGAACAACGCATTTTGAATAAAATATTTCTTTTTTTTTAATCTAAATATATTCAAGTTTTTATTTTCTATTGTGATTAGCTTTGTTATTGAACTTTAAGGTAAGTGACTACATGAGTCATGATTCAAGCCAATCATTCGTTATCAGCACTGTAGCATCATCTTGTATCGAAGAAAAGCTTACTGAGATCCTGAGAATGTGACAACTAAAAGTCTTTAAATAATTTTTCGAGATTCAGCGACATTGGGGAGATATAAAAATGTCAAAAATGATAATAAACAGTGGATAGTTTCCTTCTACACTCTAGCAGTAAAAATTAAGCAAAAAACGCGTTATAACGAACGTTATTTTCTTTTCTTTTAACGCATTTTTTCTTTCAACAAATGTCCGAATTTTGGCGTTTTAACAGTGAATTGTTTTTGCCTTTGAACTTGTTATAGTGAGTGGAAACACAAGCGTTTAAACGCGTTTTCAAAGTGAACGCGTTTAAATGCAAAAAATCGGACACTTTTCATATGTTTAAACACGTTGAAAATTTACGTTTTCATGGGTTAATAAATGAGTATTTAAGTG